CAGCCCAAAAAGTATATCCAAGAGATAAAAATAAGATGGGATCAACTTGATTGAAAAACCAGAATAGTGACATATACAACCCAAAATACACACAATAGAAGGTTGCTAGACAGGGAAGCACTGTTCTTTGCAATAGAAACTTGGAGAAATTCTCAGTCCCAGGAGGAGAAATCCGAAAGCATGAAAGGTAGAAAATATTAAAAGTAATTGTAGAGAAATTTTCTTCTGAGTTAAAGAAATTTTTAAGGCTTCAAATTTGAAGTGTCTACCAAGTGCAGAGAGGACAAATGAAAAAAATACAGGCAACAAATTCAGAGAAGTATAGAGAGAAAAACTGAGAGTTCCTGGGAACAGAGGCTAGAAGGAATTAGCTTAAGAAAAAGGAATGAACATACTGGAATCAAACTTCTCATCAGTGCACTAGGTCCTAGAAGGCAATGGAGAAATGTTTTTGAAGTTGTGATGGAATTTTTGGGAATCATAATTCTGGTTAAAATTAAAATATAATTGAAATCCTACAAAATCCTTTAAGACTAATTTGGAACTAAGAAAAATATATATAAATAATTTTATGTATATATAAATTTCTATATATTACATATAATAACATATTAACATATGATAAATGGTTTTTATTATATGTTATAATATAATAAATATACATATACAAATTTATATATGTGTGTGTATGTGTGTGTGTGTATATATATATATGCATGAAAACTTGTATAAATATAAAATAGAGTAAAGAATAGGTGGTCATGATCAGTAGAAGCAGGCGAGCCAGTTCTCAGGGAGCAGAGTTGAGGGAATTCTCAGAAAGGAGAGGTCGTGCCTTGACCAGAGGGAAGAGCAGATGAGAGCAGACCTCTGGGCTCTCCCAGCAGGGCCCAGTCTGGGCCTGTGGACAACCAGACACGGCTGAAGTGTGGCCAGCCCCCTACTGTGAATTCACCAGACTCTGGCTGTCAGACCTTGCTCACGTTCCTTAGGCTGTGGCCTGCATCTAAAAAGGGATGGTTTAGGTGGGATCATCGCAAAGATACCTTTCAGTTTTAATATTTTGTAAATCTATCACGACAGGCTAATGATTAGATGGCAAAGGGAATGTGGCTAATGTACATTCTTGGTTTGGGAATGTTTGTGTCCCTTGAGTTCACCTACCAATGTCTGACAGTTAGAGAGGGAGGCTCTTTCCAGAGGACGATCCCATAAAACTCATGTCCATGAATGGTTACTCTCATATGCCGCAGATTAACATGCATAGTGTCTGCAATTTTGATATCATGATAACCACTTTCGTGCATAAAGAATGATGCATAAACTCATTTCTTTTATATCACTATGCACATTCTTATATAACTTATACAGTATTTCTATATTTAGAGGAAATATGCATTTATTTAATCAGCCAATATTTATTGGCTCTCCATTGTGTACCAAGTACGGTGGAAGGTCCATGTTGGAGGTACAAATACGAATAAGAAGGGGATCTTCCTCTGAGGAACACACATTTGCAGAGGGAGGAGACAAACGCACAACAGATCACTAGATACCAGAAAGGAGTGTGATACACACAATGAACAAAGTGGTTGCTGAGAAGGTGGGGGCTGCATAGATGTGCATGCACAATCTCTATTGTTTTCAACTTTTATTCATGGAAAAATGAAGGGAAACTGTATAAGGTCATGTTAATATATGAGCTACTAAAGGGGCACAAAAGTTGCAAACATATAACCATATTGTTATCATAATAGCATTTGAAATCCATGGAAAAAGTTAGTGCAATTTGCAAACCCACAACATGCAGGAGGGATGAACAGTCTGATGTAACAGTCCCGTTGTGGAGGAGAGGCACGAAGGAACCCAGGGTTTGAATCCCATCAAACAGTGAGATCATGGTTTTCCCTGATGCTCAGACCAATCCTGCCTAGAAATTAAGACGGTTTATCCGAGTGACCCTCCCTTCAGTCTCAGGGGAGCAAACCCCCTACAGGAAAATACTATTTTCATAATGAAGAAACATATATCAGAGGAAAACTATAGATTAAATTGTTGTATCAGAGCAAATCAATTACTCCCTCCAATGTCCCCATCTCCCAAAAGAATTATGGTTATACTTTTCCTCATGATAATTGAATTTTTCCTCTAAAATAATTTGTACAAAGATCTTGTGTTTCAAATTGCTCTGAGAGCTTGAGTGCAGTGGCTGGGCCACATCCCCCTGTGTGAGGGAGGGAGAGTTAGGGGTCACCTCTCTTCCTCTCTGACTCGCTGGGTGTGAACACTGGCTCTACTATTTAAAAAATACGACACCTGGGACATGTGACTCACCTCTTTATGCCTCAGCTTCCTCATTTATAAAGCAGAAGGAATAATATAACACAGTAACAATATTCCCTCACTCACAGGGCTGTTGTGAAGATGAAATGAGCTAGTGGAGGTCAAGCCGTCCTGTGCACAGAACGAGTGTTCTGTAACTTAGATAAAATATTATCAGGTTTAAATTGTTTTTATTGTTATATCCTTCTAGTTCCAAACCTCATGTGTTGCATACCAGAAGCACTCAATAAATGTTCACTGAAGCAAAGGCCACAGACTAGTCCCCACACAACCAGAGTAGTTCACACAAGAGAATAATGGGGGCAGTAGCTTGTGTCTTCATAATGAAAGTTTTCAAACATTTATAAAAATAGACAGAATAGTATGCTGAACTAGGAAGGGAAGTGGTAAAAGTAGATGATTTGTCTAATATATTTGAAAAGCTACTATAAAGAAAGACAAGTGTAAATGTATCAAACTAGATGTTAGAAGTACTTATTTGAATCCAGAAGCTTTATGATATTCATCAGATTTATTAAACACTTGGTCTTATCTTTGTTACCTTTAACATGAGGCAGTATGATTCTTCTATAGCCTGTGCAACAGGATTAGAAAAAGTTACTATACTGAATCCACTAGAATCGCAATAAATTGATGATATTTAGTGTCAGAACTGGAGAGTTGTGCTTGGTGTCAGTCTGGGATACTGGATAGTAAGCAGTCTAGGTTGCCTTTAATCATCCGTACCATCTTTAATCATCAAATAAAGACAAGAGAGTTTCTCACGAGTACAGTATAACCAGAAAGAATACACTATCTCAGGGCAGGTTTCTCAGTTCAAAGCACCCCTGTGATAATAGGAGAAACGATGTGCTAATACATAATGCTGATTTACATCAAGCTAGAAATTAGAGCAAAATAGCAAGAATATTTTGATATGCATTCACTCCTGCCCCAAAGACACGATGCTCTGATTTTAAAATCTTGATGTCTGATTCCATCAAAACTAAGCTGGAGTAGAATCAGGTAATTTATTCCAGGGTGCATGGGACATACAGCACCCTTGATAAATAAATGACGTGCAATATGATATATTGGAGTATATGAGGAAGCCATTTGGTTTAAAACTAATTCGGCCTGATTTTGTTTTTCCAAAAGGGGCTGACATGGCCTGTTGAGCATAGATTGTGCCTCTGCTTTAAATATTTACTATGTCCCAAAGACAAGGATAATGCCCTTAAAGATAAGGATGTAACTACCCCCCATCAGCATTTCTTTAAGGATAAGCACCTCTCCCTAAACTAAGGATTAATTACTGACCTGCTGTGCTCATCTTGTGATCACTTACCTTGTCACCACCAACCAGCTGTGTTCATGGATCTGGTATGCCAGCAAAGCAATCTCGTGACTACCGTAAACAGGACATTCCTATCATATGTGATGTATGCTGTTTGTTTCAAGACAGTATATAAACACTCTGTACACCCCATTTCTTTGGTGCCCTTCCTTCCTTAGAAAAGGAAGGCCCCAGGCTAGTCCTCAAATCTGGCTCATAATAAACTCACCTCAATTATGATTTATAGATTGATTATGGATTATTTGCATCGACACCCTCCAGTCTTAGTACCGAGGACAAGTCTCTGCCTCTGAAATAACTGGGTGGGTTTTATCCAATGTGAATTGCATAACTAATTCACTTTCCCTTTTTTGCTTTGGAACCAAATTTGTGGGTCATAAGGAAATGCATTTTCCAGCCTCTGTCTTGTCATCGTCTTATGCCCTTCATTTCAGTTTTCTATTCTTTTGAACACATTTTAAATTTAGGCTTTCATGCATATCATTGAAAACTCTTGTAAATAATTTTTGGAACAATGCACAAGTTAAGTGAATAAACAATAATTTAACTCAAGATAAAGTACAATAATGAATGACCATCTTAAAACCCTTGCTTTAAACACATGCTAACTGAATTCTAGTGTCATTTTATGAGCAGCCTCACTCACCAGGAAGAAGCTCACTGAATGAATGAATGTTCTTGCTTATGATGCCCGTTCTCTTTCCCCCTTGTAAATAATTGAATGGATATTACAGTTAATACATCTATCTCTTGACTGACATTTCCTGACTCTGAAATCACATTTTTGGACTCGCAAATCTGAACACCAGACACTGCAAACTCAGTCCTTTGCCAGCTCTGAGCAAGGAGCCACCACCTCTCTGACTATCTTAGCTGCATTTATGTTTTAATAGAAAAATATTACAAAGGAACGGAGAGAGGACATGGCCAGGGATTGAAGTAACAAAAAGTAATAAATGGCAGGATTTAGATACAAATATACTAGATCTTTTATAGGTATACTCTTGAATTTTCTCAAGAATACTACAAGGGAGGGGTTGTTAACCAGAAAAATACAGTGAAGCTTAGAGAGAACTAAGCAGCCCAAGATCGGTGTTAAATGTAGCATTTCTGGCTCCATGGCTGTGCAGTTTCCATTACAGTCGGGTTTTGATGTTATATTTACCAAAGATCGTTGAACCTGAATTAAGTGTTTGAATCAAAGTTAAGGCATAATTCAATTATTTTACATTAGAAAATATCACACAGTTACGATTATTTTCTCCCCAATGGTGTGTTCACTGTGAATCTATTTTCTATTTCCTCGATCTAAAACCAGAACCTACCCAGAATATAAATTTATTGTTGAGGAATTTTCTCTTAAGAGTTTTCCAGTGACAATGAGTTTGATGGCTTTTCGAAACCAAGGATAAAAGAAAGCATAAATCAAGGGATTCATTGCTGAGTTATAGTAAGCAACCCAAACCAATATTTCATACATATATGTGGGTGTGACGAAACCTAGGAAGGCATCGATGACTGAGTCAATGAAGTAGGGCAGCCAGGAAATCAGAAAAGCAGTCACTGCAAATCCCAGGGTTTTTGCTGCTTTTCTCTCCCTCTTGGCCACTCTGTCTTTGTAGCTGTCTGATGATCTCGCAGTCTCATTGCTCATCCTTTCAATGTTTCTAGCCTGTTGTTTAGCGATGAGGAAAATCTTGGAGTAAACCATTATCATCACGAGTGTGGGAATGAAAAATAATAGAAAATTTACCAACACCCTACTTTGATTCACTGCAATCTGACAGCCTCCCACACAGGTGAGAGCACTTACTAGATCCTCCAGCCCAGCTTCATTTGCACCTGTGCCAAGAAGCGAAAAAGTATAAACAACGGAAAGGAGCCAGGAGAAGGCAATGCACAAGCCAGAAACAGAGGCAGTGAACCTGGTTGGATAGACCAGAGGGTCAGTGATCGCAATGTATCTGTCGAGAGAAATGAAACACAAGTGGTAGATGGAAGCATAACAGAATGATCCTTCGAAACAAGAGTGCAACGTACAGTAAGTCTGCCCAAAGTACCAGCAGCTCTCCATGGACCTGACCATGCTGAAGGGCATCACGGTCACCCCCACCAGGAAGTCAGCGCCGGCCAGAAAGGCGAGGAGAAAGTTGGCAGGAGAGTGCAGCCGCTTGAAGTGGAGGATGGAAATCATCACCAGGAGGTTTCCACACACAGCCAGCACTGCTCCCAAGCCGAACACGGCGCACAGCAGCAGGCGGGGGCCTGGCGAGTAGGGGGTTTTGACACAGGATCCAGTCAGGTTCTCATAGCAGATCCGCACGGCAGCGAGAGGGGGCAAGTCCCCGCTCGTCATTCTCCGTTTTGTTACTGGGAGAAGCTGTCATCGTCTATGGCCAAGGCTGTCATTCAGGTTTTCAAAAGTCCTCAAAACAAAGAAAGATATATACAACATCTCAGTAATTGCCAGCACCTTCTGCCCCCATTTCTTTCTAAGTACAAATCCTTATTTTCATGTTTAGAAAGTGATTGATAGCCTCATCTCATAAAATAATTCACTTCCAAATGAATAGGCTGTTACTTTGCATCATTACATAAAATGCTATTTATTTAAATTTAAAAAATACCTTTCTTTGCATTACCTACTTCTTCATATCTGAGAAGCATTGATCTTCCAAGAGCTGTTACATGATGCATGTACAAATGCCACATTTTCTTAGCATCCTTTTTCTAATTTATCAAAGTGAGGATAATGCCCCAAACACTCTGTCCCCTCAGGAAAGTAGCTAAATAATTCCAAATACCCAAAGCCCTTAAGATTCAATCCCCATAGTGCAAGGTGTGGAAAGAAAGAAAATTTTAACAACAATTATGTTTATGCTAATGCCTTTCTAATTTCCTGATGACATTTGACTGTTTCATGAAATAGCAATAGCGCCTATCCTTAAAAACCTTTGTCCAGAATTTGAAAGCTATATTATTTATTCTTATTAATTATTGGGGATTGCCTTTTCATTTCTGTGAGAACCATTTATTTATGATTACTGTTTGATGTCACTATATCTCTTTCAATAAAGCTCTTCATCCTTTCCAGTGTTGGTTAGTGTTAAAGAAATTAATTACAGAATCATATATTAAACACTAGAATGCTTCATGTTTAGTTTTAATAATTCTGATTTGGAAACGTGGGGGAGGAGAGTACAAGGTGTTTTCCTCATGAAAATACAGAAGGCAGTGTGTGTACACCTAAAAGCAGTTCCTGCTAATGTTTTCTGGTTTTTGTTTCAGAATGGGAACTGTTGGGAAGAAATTAAAGAAATAATATGAAGGAAGAATCTTTGAAATATGGATATTTCTATGTTATACTCAGTTTTACCATTGACAAATTTCCTTTTCCTCTTAGAGCTCAGGAACAGAACTCAGCTTAGGTTTTGAAAAAGATTTTTCTGATGAATGACTTACGGTCATGTTTAAAAATCAGCTTTTTGCTATTGAGGTATAATTTATATTTGAAAAGTCCACACTTTTAAAGTGTCAGGCTGATGACTTATGATAAATGTATCCACCCATGTCACCACCACCGCAGTCATGGTGCAGATGTTTCCAACACCCCAGCAGTTCTGGTGCCCTTTACACACAATTACAGTCACTCTCTCCCACATCTCCCTTCTCCTGCCCTAGGCAACCACTGATCTCCTTCTGTGGCTACAGATTAGTTTCCCTGGTCTAAAAATCTCCTGTGAGAAGAACCACAGAGTATGTGCTCTTCAGCGTCCAGTGTCTTTCACTCAGATCAGTGTCTGTGAGTTTCATCCATGTTTGGGGATATTAGCAGTTCATTCCTTGTTATTGCTAAATAGCAATCCATTGTATGAATACACTACAATTATTTCATTCACATGCCTGTCAATAGACATTTGGACTTGTGTTCACTTTGGGGCTGTTATTAATAGTGTTGCTGTGAACATTCATATGCAGTTCTTTGCATAGACATATGTTTTCCTTTCTTTTAGGTAAATACCTGGGAATCAGATTGTTGGAGCCAGCTCTGGTGGTCTAGTGGTTAAGATTTGGCACCTTCACCGCCGCAGCTTGGGTTGGTTTCTTGGTCAGCGAGCCATACCATCTGTCTGTCGGTTCTCATACTGTGGTGGCTACATTGGTGGCTGCCTGTTGTGATGTTGAAAGCTATGTCATTGTGATTTCAAATACCAGCAGGGTCACCCCAGGTGGACAGGTTTCAGAGGAGCTTCCATACTCAGACAGACTAGGAAGAGGGACCTGGCCACCCACTTCCGAAAAAACCGGCCATGAAACCCTGTGAATAGCAGCTGAGCATTGTCTGATATAGCGCTGGAAGGTGAGAGGATGGCACAGAAAGACCAGGTAGGCTTCTGTTCTGCATGTCCACAGGGTTGCTGGGAGTCAGAATCCACTGATGACACAAACAAAACAAAGGAAGATCAAAAAGAATTGCTAGACCATATGGGAAGTGTATGTTTAACTGTACAAGCAACTACAAACCATCTTCTAAAGCAATTGCACCATTTTACACTCCCACCAGCAATCTACCAGGGTTCCAATGGCTCCAAGTCCTCGTCAACATTTGCTATTGTCATTTCTTTTCATTTTAACCATTCTAGATGGTGTGTGGTAGTATCTCGTGTTTTTAATTCAATGAGTGGTGATGTTGAGATTCTGTTTATGTTATTACTAGCCGTTAATGCATCCACTTTGGAGAATTGTCCATTAACATTTTTGCCCATTTTTAATTGAGTTTTAAGTTTTTTTATTGTTCAGTTGACTAGGTACAAGTTATTTCTAAATATATGTTATGAATATTGGACTTTTCAATTTCTTGAGAGTGTGTTTTTGTACAGCAGAAGGTTTTAATTTTAATGAAGTCCAAAATATTTTTTTTATGGTTAGTGCCTTTGTTTCTTGTCTAAGAAAGCTTTGCCTAACACAATGTCACAACTATTTTCTTCCATGTTCCTTCTAGAATTTTTATAATTTTAGTTCTGATGTTTAGGTCTATGACTCGTATGGTATTAATTTTATATATGCTGTGAGGAAGAGTCTGAGGTTTATTAGTAGTAGTGGAAATGGATACTCAGCAATTCCAGCAGCATTTCTTGAAATGACTGTTCTTTCCCCAATGAATGAATGTGCGTTCCTTTGTCATAAACCAATCCACCACATATGTGTGAGTCTATTTCTAGATTCTCTATTCTATTCCATTGATATCTATGTGTATATTTAAACCAATACCTTACTGTCTTGAGTGAAACTATGTAGTAAGTATTAAAGCCGTGTAGTGTAAGCCTTCTACTTTGTTATCCTTTCCAGAATTGTTTTGGCTATTCTGTGTCTTATTTTTTACATAACTGTTAGAATCACCACATCAAATCCTGCAGAAAAAAAAAAAAGAAAAGAAAAAACCTGTGGAATTTTTACTGATATAAAATTGAATATATAAATCAATCATGTAGAGAGAGGTACTGAAATGTCTGCTCAGTACAGTAATTTGCTCATTTTTCCTTTTACTTTTGTCATTCATGGTTATGAATTTAGATACTCTGCATTAGCTGCATACATATTTAGGATTGCTATTATTTCCTGGTAATACTTAAATATTGGACATTTTAACAATTCTGAGTCTACTAAGCCACAAATATCTTATATGTATCCATAGTCAAGAAGTCAATAGAAGAAATGGAAACTAAATGTGTTCACTTAGCCCAAAATGAGGCAGGAAAGGAGCAATAGACAAACAAAATAAAAAGAGAACAAATGAAAAACAAAGATCAAGATGATAGAATTAAATCCAAATATATAAAAAATTACATCAGAGGTAAATAGATTGACAGATTGCATAAAAAAGCAAATCTCAACTATATACTGCCTACTGAGACACATTTTAAGTATAAAGACACCAATAGATTGAAGGAAAAAAGAATGGGAAAAGATATACTATGGAAATAACCGGCATAAGAAAGCTGTTGTGGCTATATACATATCAGACAAGGTAGGCTTCATGGCAAATCGTACTTTAAGAAATAAAAAGGGACATCTTATAATGATAAAAGAACTGTGTCCCACAGGAACTGAACCTTAAGATGAGTTCTCTGAATAGGTTCTGGGTTTCGGGGAATTGGATTTCGGATATAATTTTATTTGAAGGCATTAGAGACACTGTTTCCAATGGTAGAGGGAACTGACACCCGTGGGTTACAATGGAAAAACATTTACCCAAATTACTCTCTGTAGATACCTGTAATCAAGTGCCCAGAGAAGAAAAGGCTCTGGGTGACCAAGCACCTGCTCCTATACAGCATTTCAGTAAGAATGAGGAGTACAATGGGTTGGTTAGTTTCTTTTAATTGCTCTGGAGAACTTGGGGAAAGAAAATGATGACTCTAGAGGCTTTGAATTCCAGCTCAAGGTCCATATAAGGGAACTGAAAGCTTCAGTGAATGCCTTGAAAGAGCCCCTCATCTCCTAGAGCCACAGGACTGAGTTTCTGAGAGCCCAACCCCAAGCCTAATTCTGTAGCTGGCTGAATTACAATGCAAATTGAATTCTCAAACTCCCAGGGTCTCTTTTGTTAAAATTCTGGCATTGATTGGGAAGGAAAGGGATTCTAAAAATTAGGATGGTGACATACAGGCAGCATCTAATGAAACTGGTTACCTCCAACCCCTAAATTCCATCAAGCCTTTTCTCGCAGTAGAGCAGCCCTTCCACTGCTGCCTGAGGTCTCTCCTTGTCTGAAGAAGTTATGATGGCCTCCCTTGAGGTAGTTGCCTTACTGTGGACCCTGACTCTCCTCAGAACCTCCCTTAACACCTTTCCTTGCCTCTAGACATAGAATCAGACTCAGGCCCAGCAGGCTCCAAAGGGTGGGTTACAAAGTGTGACTAATGAACAAGTGTAGTATAAAATATCTGCATAGTTTTGCAAGCTATATTTACAGAACTCTGAGGAATATATGTGAGAATGGATATCAAGGGCATGTTATCAATGTAGAAATAATATAAATCAGATTGGGCCAAATGTATTGATAGGAGACTAATAAACAGCAAATGTGAATTCACCATTTTAGTTCAAAGGGCTAGAAATAACTCTAAACAATTGCTTGGTTCATTGACTGATATACTGACCCAAATGCAGCCTATAATGAATGAAGCTAAAATGTCAGAACATCCTTGGTCTACCATCAAGAAAGGTATACAAAGACTTAGGGAATTAGAATGCTTGAATGAATTTATCATATATGACACGCTTATCCAACCCAGGATGGTCCAGAGGACATGACATTCACTACAGCTGTAAGAAATAATTCATGAGGGGAGC